ATATCTATTTTTGTTGTAAAATAAACAGTTTTAATTTTTTATCTTAAACATTCAGTTTGATTTGTAATTTTGTTTATGTTAATTAAGTATTAAAATAAAAAACATGGTGGTTATGCAACCAGTAAAACGCTAAGTTATTAGAACGAAATACTCGTAATAAAGATTCTTTTTATTATGAAACAAACTGGAAGTTTTAATTTCTTTATATGAAAAATTCAGTTTAGTTCATAACTGTGTTTATTTAAGTGTTAAAATAAAAAAAAACACGCATTCAGTTCTTAATTTTATTACATTCAAATAAACAAAATAATTAACTTAAATCCTCTATATCACAGCCCCTTTACTTATGAAAGTAAATTTGGGTCCAGCGTCCCCAATCCACAGTAATCTGTGTAACCCACAAACCAGTACAGGTAAAACACAAGTCAACCCTACATACAAAAAGTACGGAATGGGAGGAGTTGCCCCAAAGGGATAAAACCAGAACCCTCTCCTTGTCGCATCTCTCGTATGATGACTCACAAAAGCTGTTAAAACAATCAAAGAAACTCTCTTCCAAACCTCCACTTGAAAAAAATAACTCAACATCAAAAATAATAAACAAAACATGAAAGGGAACGTAGAGCAGTGAAGTGGTGGCCGTTTCTGCAAACTTGTAGCATCCTAAAACAGGAAAATTATACCAAAATGTTAAAATAACTTGTGCCAAACCTTGAGATGTATAGATCGGGCTGAGATGAAATGATCGATATCAATTAGAGAGGCAACCCCAGCACATAACCCGATTTCGATCAAACTTTGAAAGTGTGACCGGTTTTTAAAATTAATGCAAACGTAAAGCCACGAAAGGGCCCCAATTGAGGCATGGGTGGCATTGTCAAAGAGGGCTTGGAAGAGGTGCAGTTTGGTGTGAGAAACGACGTAATCGCCGGTTACTGACACTAAAGCGAGAAGAATTGTGACGTAATTACCAGTATTGAATATAAAAGTTGGGTGGAACCACGTGAATAACATTGAAATAAACAAATTGGGGCATTATTATCGCCACATAACCTCACACTTAGCTGTCAGTTTGACGTTTTAGAGTGGTCCGGTGTACCGGACGTTGCGTTAAAACATTCGATGTAAAACGAAAAGGTGAGTGGAACAGTGTACTGAACGATAAAAATGGCGGTAATCAAAATTTGAAAGTTGATCAAATCAAAAAATGATGGCACTCTCCAGCGGCCAGTTGGTCGTAATTGTGAATTTCCTGGTGTGTAGAAGCACACAAAATACGTAATTCTTGTAGTTTCACATTTCAGTCGGCTTGTTAATTGTTCTTGCACGCCAGATGCACCAAACTGGAGGAACACATTTCACACAAGGGCTTCTACAAGCTTCAACTTTTATAATTAACTCAATTTCGAAGGATTTCCTCGTGAGTGAGACACAATTCTACTAAATGAAACTAAAATTTTGTCCAGGATGAGTGCTTTTATGGCCGCAAACAAGCACTTCACTTGTGTCTTTTTGTAGAATATTTGTGTTTCTTCACTGTTGTTTTCTACTGGGACGTGTGGGTATTGTTTTTTTGCAAACTAGTCTCCGGTAAGTGCTTTTATGTTAAATTTTGCTCTATTCTTTTGTCAAGTTCTTTTTAATCAAATATCCCAGTTGTCGAAGGAATATTTAGAAAAAAGTGAGCCCCCAAGCACGCAAATTACATATTTTAATTTAATTGAGACAACTTACATGTGTGGTCTTTTGATTGGAGTCATTTCGGGCAGTTATCTTTATGCCTGTACTATGGAATTGACCTTAAATGCGCTGTTTGCAAGTGTTTTAACCCTCAGTACTGTGCGTAAGTGCGCTAAAAAGGCCATTCTGGAAGGTTTTAGTCGAAAAAATGTGTAAAAATGAACCAAATAACCCATAGTGTGCACGCGCGTAATGTTGGTTGCATAACCCGTCAAATTTTTATTTGACCTAAACATAATTTAACAAGTTGCAATTCCAGGAAATTTGTACAAAAAGCCTGTTCACAAGTTTTTAGTTAAAATTTATTTAAAATGCTTATAATAAGCAAAATAATCCATGAAGTTTTATGTGTGTAATGCTGGTTGCATAACACAAATTTTTATATAATTTAAAACATAATTGTAGGGTAACTACACCTAAGGAATATTCCCTAGATTTAGGTAATTGTATTATGTTCTAAGCAAAAGGGAAATTTACGTGTAAAGTCTGTTTTATTTAATAATCAATTGTCAAAATGTTATGTTGGTGCAACTTAGAACTTAGCAGCTAATAGTGAATTTTAATTTCACGATTGGCAGCACTGCCTACAACTGTTATTGTAATTTTTCTCATTTCATTGTCAGTAGTTGAAGGTGATTTTAAATTAACAGCTCTTTCACTTCGTGTTTTAATCGTATCTTTTTTTTAAATTTTTATAAACATAACTGACAGTTGACAGGATTTAATCACTAAATTGTGTATATCGCTGTCCACATATCGTAGTTTTAGGGTGGTGCAGCATGAAGTTTTTATTCCCGACAAAAAAAGAAATTCTTGCGTGATTCAGTTTTGGAAATATTTTTAGAATTAAAAAAATATTTTTTAAAGGTGTTTTACTTTTATCCTGTTTAGTATGTTTTTTGCAGTGTATTCTTAGTTGACCCTGGTGTAGTGTCCTTTAATCAGGCTGCCATCTATCGAGAAATAGAAAAGTAAAACTTAATGTTTTAAAATGTAGATTTCCAACTTGTTGAAACTAGCTACATAAAAATCGGTTTTTCCTCGTAACAAATTGCTTCCCTGAGCTTACAAATATACTCCAAAGTAGTTTGCAAAACATTCTGAAAGAGTGGGGTAAAAAAAATATTAAAACTTAATAAAAAAATAATGTTCTTTGATTATTACCATTTTTATATAAATGTTTTTAATACATGCTGTTGTTTCATTCTAACATTCACCTAAATGCAAACATTGAAATATAATTATGTTATTTTAATACATGTAAATACCGCGTGACTGTAAATCATTGTGATTTTTTACCTCAAGTTGGTGTCAAATTTAAAATTTTAGTTTGGCAACGTTGATTTTCAAATTCAAACATCAAACCTTTATAAGCAATTGTCATTCAATTGCGACGGGCGACTGGATTACCAATAATTCAGTGTTGCCAATGCATTTTTTTGTCACAAACATTAATAGTCACCCAGTATTTAATTTCTTCCTTAAAGAGGGGAGAGAGGTCTGCGGAAAAAATGTTTTTCGATCATTTTTCCCGTTTTCAACCAGAAACTTGATTATTTCGTCAAGTCGAAAAACCACCAAAATTGGTTAAAAATAGTTTCTTTTTTTTACAAGATTTTAGGATCGAAAATGACAATTTATTGTTGTCTTTTTCAAATACTTTTTTAAGCTAGAAACACAATTATATCGCAAGATTTCGTTAAAAACAATCCAAAAATTCAACAAATTCGACCAAAAATGGCGTTATTTTACTCTTTAAGTGTTTAAGCACATTTCTTGAATGTTAGCATGTTTTTCAACAAAAAACGCAATTATTTCGCCAAATTGATTAAAAACAAGCCAAAAAACACAGAATTAGTCCGAAAACGATATAATTTTTTCCTTTTTCGAAAGTTCAAGCAGATTTTTAACCTGAAAACCCTTTTTTTTGCTAATCGAAAACCTCTAAATTGGCCAAAAATAGTTTTATTTGTTTTTTTACAAGATATTACTAAAGAGAGTCGAAAATGACAACTTATTTTAGTTTTTTCGAATGCTTTTTCAGTTAGAAACAAATTATTTTGCAAAATGTTGTCAAAAACAAGCCTCAATTCATGAAAGTAGCCCAAAATGGCGTTTTTTTTGTCTTTTTCGAGTGTTTAAGGATGTTTTTGAAAGATATAAACACAAAAAGTTCGAAATATTGCATTGAAACAGGCTAAAAAATTACAAAATTAAATCGAAATTGATATCATTTTTTAACTTGTTTCGCCCGACTCACTTCGTTTCTGAACCAGAGTCTCATTTATTTTGCAAAATCTTGTCCTAACACGCCTAAATATCACAAATATATTGATGTAATTTTGTTTGTTTCACTCGATTTAACTGGTTTTGAGCAAAAATAAGCCGAGAAACCACAAAATTTGGCCGAAAATGCTTTTAAGCACGTTTTTGTACTAAAATCTCAGGTTTTTCGCTAGATTTCGTTAAAACAGACTAAATATTCAAGAAATTAAGTCTAAGATTACATTATTTTTGAATTTCTCGAGTGTTTTAGCACGTTTTTCAGCTAGAAACGCAAAATTTTGTCGAAAACAACCCGAAAAATCACAGAATTAGGCCGAAAAGCTTGGTTTTTTTCAAGAGTTTAAGCGGAAAACAAGATTTTCCAACTCGGATCTGAGGGTGAATTTTATGTTTTTGATCTGGCAACACTGATCAGGTTGAGTGAAGCCAGATGCGTTGTCACAAGGCCTCGTTTTTGACAAGTCCGGTTCTGCACAATGCTTTGGAAAGGCGCCCCACAAGCCCCAAGGCTCCTTCTTGCAAAAAATCCCGAAAAAAATCAAACTTGTGCAACGACGGAAACGTCAAATTCATACCCTTGGCAAGTCAAGAGTATCGAAACGAAATTCATTGTAGCATGAAAAAACCATTCTAATTATCAGCTTTTCTCTCATTAATAATCGAAATGATGGGATTTTCGAACGTTCAGTTGGTCCTACTGTCCGTGTTTCTGGTAAGTGGGTTTCAAATTGTGACATTTTGCGCTATTTTCCCCAGTTTTTCCTCTCTGCTGGGATCCTTCAAGCCCCCTTGTCGCGCCATATTGCCATCGAGGGTGGGACGCATTTCCTTCAGGGATGGTTGGCCGGTTTTATTTTCCTCTCACAATCAATCGCAAAAGAGTTTAATGTAAGTCACGTCATTTTCAATTTTCAATTTTTGACAAGGGTTTTAGGCACTTTTCCAGCATGGCAAAAAATACGCCCTCAATTTTTGCCTCTTTTCCCTCTTTTTGGTCTTCTTCACTCTTGTTTTTCGGGACACTTTGTGGGTGACTGTGGGGTGCAGGCTGAGTTATGGTGAGTTTAATTCGGTTATTTTCCACAATTAATATTTTTGTGTAGCTCTATTTAATCAGGTTGTGCCTTGTGCGAAAGAATTCGTTGCAAAACTGACACCGGAAGAAACACATATTAAGTATTTTAATCTAGTTGAAGGGACAAGGGTTGCAGGGCTCGCCCTTGGGAATTGTCTTGGGGGACATTTATTTCTGTGCAATGAGGATTTTTCGTCGCTTGCAATGTTCTCGACCGTTTTCACACTAGTGGCAATTCGTAAGTATTTCATTTTTTGCAAACTACTGATATGATCGAGTAAACTCCTCTAACAATCTGAAAATCACTCGATTAAAAGTATTTAAAAAAAGTGAGGGTCATATTTACGATAATTGACGGAATATTCCTCAGAAACTCTTCATTTCCGTTCTTTCATAATGTTCATCGATAAAATTAAATAAAGTTTTTTATTGTTAATTGTCACTACTAATTTATTTAGCTAAAAAAAATAATTTAATTTTTACAAACAAAATAAAATGAGGTATGTAATACGTGCATTTCAGTAGATTATCCACACCAAATTATACACGAAAAATTAACAATACCACCAATGCCAATAGTAGCCATACGTAAATAGTACTCTGGAGTCAATACTCCCTTAAATGTTTAATCATTTGGAAAATGTTTTTTTTTTGAACAACTTTCACCGAAAAGATATGAAAAGCAACTGCAATCCCTAACAAAAGTCCACAAAATGCAAATCCAATAAAGGCATTACAAAGTTTTTTAATTGTGCACGTTATTATTCTAAAATGAATGTTGTAATAGAGAGAAAATTTAATAAAGTTCGTTTTTTTATAAACAATTGTCAAAATGTTGTTTGTTAAGTTGGTAGAAGCACCATATCGTAAATTTCACGCATTAAGATTGTCAGTATTGAGTTTTTCAATGACATTTAGAATATGTCACATGATACCTCTGTGAACGATAATTGGTGAATATAAAGTATGAAACCAAGCGTTTTTTTTTTTAATCATTTGCCTTCATAAAATAATAATTAATATAAAATAAAATAATATAAAAAATGTGATCGTATTTTGTTTTGTTTTTGAGTTAAGCGATGTTTTTTTGACACAATTGGAATTTATGTATTTTTTTTTAAATTAAATATAAAGTAGATAGTTTTATCCTTAGATCATAACCTTCATGACAAAAATGATGTTATAGTGGGTTACCATTAAAAAAAAAATTGTAGAACTCAAAAACAAAAGAACATTTCAAAAAAATTTGAGTTTAAGTAACAAACGTTTGGTTCCATACTTTTTATTCACCTAGTATAACATAACCTAGTGTTACCAGCCAAAAAAAAACAAATTCAGCAGATTCGAGTTGAAAAAGTTCCCAAATTTACACGTTTTTCACCAGATTACAATTTTTTCAGCTTAAAAATCTGCTTAAAGTCTTGAAAAAAGCAAAAATTATATCATTTCCGGCATAGTTATGTGATATTTCGCTTTATTTTTAGCGTTTTTATCTAAAAACGTGCTAAAACGCTTGAGAAATGCAAAAACAATATAATTGTATCCGCCAACATCACAAAACTAACCACTTTTATGACTAAATGTCATCAGCATTGGACATTTTGCACTACTAACTGCATTAGTTAAATTACTAAACACTCTCGAAAGTTTCAACACAAATTCCTGACGCCTGATGTTTGTTTATAAGCTTTGTTATGATTTCATTACTTGCCAAGCGATAAAATAGTATATTTTATTAGGACTAAAAGTGGGTCAGCTGAAATAAACTTTCAGCTTCGCCACATAAACTATTACTTTTACTCCTAATAACATAGTATACTATTTGATTTAATTTGTTGACTTTTTGGTTTGTTAGCGAAGTTTCGCGACTGAGATTTTAGTACAAAAACGTTCTTAAAACATTTTCGACCAAATTTTGTAGTTTCTCGTCGTATCTTCGTCTTAATTTTGCTCAAAAATCAGTTAAATTTTATAAACCAAACAAAATAAATAATTAATTGAAATTGTTTAATTTTTTGTGATGTTTAGGCGTATGTTGCCAACTGGTTCAAAAACGAAGTAAATCGAACGAAATAAGCTAAAAAATAACATCAATTTCGATTTAGTTTTTAGCCTGTAAAAACGGATTTTGTCAATTTTTTTTGTTTTTATGTCAAAAACATGGGAAAATGTAAAAATAACACAGTTTTTGGTATATTTCCTTGAATTTTTGGCCTGTTTTTAACGAAATTTTGCAGTTTTGGATTTTTTTGAGAAAAATTGCCGGAATAATCAAGTTTCTGGAAGATGCTCGAAACAGATGCAAAAATAGTATCATTTATTTTTGACCTACTTTATTATTTCAACAATTGAAAAATTAGTATATTATTTTTTTTTATTGTAACCGCAGAGAAACAACAGTTTTGTCTATTTCCAAAAAAACTACTAAAGTAGTAGTACGCCTAGAAATATTTTAACTGGGAGTGGTTGAAAAACATCACTTGATATAAATTTGATGAATTTCATATGATCATCTGTAATTAAATTTTGTGCTAAAATAATTAAAATCATTCAATACCTGTCATAAGTTTTATGCAATTATGATCCAATTCATACAACTGTTATGTTGCTAATGAAGAAATCCTTTAGTTAATAGGAGAAATAACCATATATTTTTAATATTTTATTATAAAGCGAATAGAAAGTAAATCAATAAAACACGAATATTCCTTTATACAGGGCTGTTCAAAAAAGATGGTAAAATATTCAAGAAGGTAATAGACCAAAATAAACAAAAAAGTTTTAATGTGTCCGCAAAGTAACGGTTTCGGAGATATCGAATGTGAAAATTTTTAGAATTTCAACTAAAAGCTTCTCTTTTTTGTTTTTTACAGATTGCAAATAAATTTTTCAAAACACGAATAATCTTTGATATCTCCGAAACCGTTACTTTGCGGATCATTGTTTATTAAGACTTTTTTGTTCATTGTATTACCTCCGGAAACATTTTACTATTTTTTAACAACCCTGTATATAGTACATCACCCATTCATTTTTTATTGTTACTTGCTCTTAAGAAATCACTAATTACAAAACACATTTACTTGAATAATAAATGCATTAAACTGATTTGTGTGCTATAAGACTACAAAAAATCTCAATTTGACATTTCCGTAGATACAGGGTGTTTTAATAATTGTGTAGAAATTTTAAGACGTGATAGTGGAGGACGAAAGATGCAAAAATAACTCAACTTGCCCTATCTATAAAAGTTTATTATTTACTAAAATATAAAGACATTTAGTTGCTGAGTAAGTTTAAATTTGGTCCGCAGTCCTAAAACCTGTCTTAAAATTTCTCTACATTTTTCGAAATTACCCTGTTCAACACGGAAATCATTATTAATTGTCCACTTTTGGTGCCAATTCAAAAAGTAATAAAATTTCAATTTGAGATACGTACATTAATTCTTAGACACGTAAATTCGTTTTTGTATTTTTTAGGATGTTTTAAAAACCAAACACTTTTTACCAAAGACCAAGAATGACTCCAGGAATATGTATAATCGCTACGTCATCCAAGTTGTAAAACACCCTGTATATGTTAAACTATAGGTGGTTTTGAAATAATAGGAAAAATTTTACGGGTTGTTAGATCATACACAACAAAAACGTCTCAATAAACTTTTTCGTAACTTGCACCGTTACCGAGAAAAAAACAAACTAATACTTATAATTCAATATTTAAATTTTTTTTTTTTTAAATTTTTATAATTTAATATTTAATTTTATTAAATTTTAGTATTCCTTCTTCACAAGTTTATAAAACTTAAACTTGTAATAACAGACATAATAAATTGTCGCTGATTTCAAATAAAAACTACTCCTATATCGTAAAAGCTTACGAAGTAGTCAAACTTGAAAATAAATGACGATCATAAACTGAAAATTAAGAGAATGGTACAAAAATAAAGAAATGAAGTGAAAAAGAATAAAAAATAAGATGATTTTTGTTTTTGTCAAAAAAATGTCAACTGAAAAAGTCCAATTTTGGGCTTGAACTTGAACAAAATGGTCGCATTTTGAACCAAATGACTTTTACAAAATTAAAGTTTGAAGCTTTGGTCACCGATTACTCAAAATTTTTGTCAAAAATTGTTTTAAAAAAAATTGTAAAATCAATAATTTTCCATCTTCTACGAAACGTATTTGGTTATCTATCTCTTTCTCGCACTAAAAATTTCTAGAATGGCCCTTTGGTTTATAAGTTTTAACAGAAATTAACAGAAACCATTTTCAGTTTTGATGCAATACGTGGACGAAGACACCGACATCAAGCGCCCCCAAACCCACTTCAAGCAAATGCCCTCAATCTGCTACCAACGCCTCAAAAACCTCAAAACTGTCAATTACAGGAAACACTGGGACTGTATATTGCTCCAAGCCGCCTATACCACAACATTCTCAATTTATTTCGTCCGTTTTTGCTTTTTGCTCGTTTTTAATTATAATCTAGGAACGGTGGTCATTGGTTATTCAATTGCTTATCAACATATGTGGCTCTTTGCCACGTCCATGTTGGTCCCTTTTGTCAAGGAGAGAATCCAAGACAAGAAAAGTTTATTCGAGCACAGTCTCTTAATTTCCGGGTTTCTCCTTCCGGGATTGTACTACGCCCCCAGTTATGAGTGCTATTTGTTTCTTCTAATTCCGATGTTTTTCTTCTTTATGTTGGTAAACTCGTTGTTGAATGATGATGCTCTGGGTTTGAGGTCGAAACCTGATGTTTTTGAAGCATCAAACACCATTGCCTATTTGGTGAATGTCATAGGGCCGATTTTTTTCGGAATTGTGTGTCAGTTTTTCGGAGGTTATGGATTTAAATTGCTGTCATTGCTACCAATGGTGATTTGTGTCTATTTGATGAATCAGAGGTTAATGAAGAAGGAGGAAAGGGAAGAAGAAGAAACGGAAACAAGAATCAAACAAGACTAACTGTAACAATAAATTTTTACTAATAAAATATTTGTGTGGGGGTCTCGCGGCTATGCCGCGAGACCCCAACTTTACTATGATTTTGATCACAATCAGTCATTTTTTTTATCAACAGTTCTAAGTTTCATCCAAAGTGAAACTAAGGTCCCCACCAGGGGCGAAACAGCTGAAAAAAGCATAGCACTGTGCCCCCCTAACTTATCACTAATTAACCCCGACGTAACCGGAGTCACAAACCTAGCAATGGACATAATACTGTTTGAAGTCCCCGATAGCGACCCCCTGTGAGTACTTGAAGCCTTTTTCAACATTAATTCCATACTGACAATCCTTAAAATAGTACAACTCAATGAAAACGGGACCAAAATCACCAAAAACAATTCAAAATTTGGCGCCAAATACAAACAAATGAGACTTAAAGTCATTAAAAGAAAAAAATGGGTCAGACGTTTCAAGCACGAATCGTCCATTTTGTAAAAATATGAGGTTATGTAATGTAGCAAAAAAGCCGACGCCATTCCAGTTGCACTGAAAAACGAAATTGTGTAGCCAACATGGCGTTGCGACAGCTGAAACTCTTCTTTCAAATAAACTGATTGTTGGGAAAAATACATTGTGACCGAAAAACCGAAAATGAACCGGAGGAGAAAAACGTCCCAAAAGGCACGCCAGTCGATTTCGGTCATGTCCGTTATAGATTTGTTAAATTCGTATCGAAGTTTTGTAAAAATGGGGTTTTGTTGGTTAATTTGGCCCTTTTTTGGTGCCTTTATTTCGCTTATCACAGAAGTCAAGGCTACATTGACGATAAAAAGCACACTTGTGAAACTACAAACGTAGAAAAAACCGTTATTTAGCTCGATTAAATGCCCTCCAAGGGTTGGTCCGATTATAAACCCGAGCGAACCGAGGGCTGTCGAACGGCCCAACGCGCTGGCGCGGTCACATGGGGGCACTAAATCAGTTATAATTGCTTTGCAAATACTCTGAGTGTGCTTTGTAACCCCTGTAATAAATTAATTGTATTAGACGACTGTGATTGGTCAAATAACTGGTCACGTGACTCTAAATAGTCACGTGGCCTCAAAAACTCTCCCACGATTGGATGCGAGACAAAGACACGTGACTCTAAAAAGTCACGTGGGCTTGGAAACTCGGCCACCATTGGGTGTGAGACAAAGGCAGACTTACCTAACAAAATTCTAACAATTGCTATAAATAAAATTGAGTTTGTGAGCCCCAGAGCTATGTATCCGAGACTGCATAGCAGTAATGTGATTTGTAAAACCGACTTCCGGTCCCTAACGTCACTCCAACTGCCCTAAAAAGAAAATTGGTTGAATTTTTGGTGTAATTTATTGTTATTATTACCACAATTGGGCCTGAAATGACTTGAAGCCCCGAATATAGGGAATTTAAAAGTCCGATTGTGAAATGTGAAGCCCCTAATTCTCGTAAATGGTTGCTAAATAGGGGCACTGTGAGACCCACAGCAAACAAGTCCTTAAAATTGAAATAAGCAAGCATGAAAAATTCTCTTTACTTACCATAAAAGACAGTGCATAAACTAGATTTAAATTTTTGTTCTTGTTAAACATTCCGATTTATTTTGTAATGTAAGAAATAAAGCAAAACATGTGCTTCATTATTTTTGCTGAGTTATGACGTCAAGGATTAAATAATTGACTTGATAAGGAATAATTTAAAAATTAGAGGTTATGTTTTCGTTAGGTTATGTTTTGACAATGGGCTATCAAAATTAAAATGACATTACTTTAAAAATAATCAAAACGTGAAACGAAAATACGCAGTTATTTATTAACTGAATTTATAAAACAGAATGCATTAAATTTATTTATAAAAAAATGGGGTATAGTTGGTTGCCTGCCCAACACATCTATAATCAAAATAATGATTCTTTAGGTTTCCCAAAAAGAACCAATTACTCTTATTTTTTTTATTTTATTGAGAAACCGTGATTTAAAATTTGTATTTAACATTGGATCGTACTTAAGATTAATTAATTAATACATATTATAATAATAAATTAAAAAAAAATAATTTTTTTATTAAAATAAATAGGTCTATAAATAGATTTTTTTTGTAATAGATACATCTTTAGTTGAAAACACAAAATCTTGTGTGAACTGCACATTGTGGTTACTATATCACAATAATTGTTTATCAAATTATAAAAATAATAAAAATACAGGATGTCCGGAAAGTTGCACACCTCCATGAAAGAGAGTAATTGGGTAGTCCCCTCGTATTAATACGAGTTCCAGTGGTAGTCCCCCAGAGCTCTAAAAAAATGTTTAAAAAATGCTATCTGTCAAAAAAWTTTGACATYTAYTTTTTGAMATTTGACATTTTTTATGTCTATTTAATGATACTSATGATCTTGTATATGTTTTTTTTATAATTGTTTAGTATAGGTACAAAAATTTTTCCAATAAAAGCCACATTGTGGTTACTATATCACAATAATTGATTATCAAATTATAAAAATAATAAAAATACAGGATGTCCGGAAAGTCGCACACCTCCATGAAAGAGAGTAATTGGGTAGTCCCCTCGTATTAATACGAGTTTCAGTGGTAGTCCCCCAGAGCTCTAAAAAAATGTTTAAAAAATGCTATCTGTCAAAAAAATTTGACATCTACTTTTTGAAATTTGACATTTTTTATGTCTATTTAATGATACTGATGATCTTGTATATGTTTTTTTATAATTGTTTAGTATAGGTACAAAAATTTTTCCAATAAAAGCCACAAATAACACTAAACAGAGTTACAATTTAGAATACAGCTTCTTTGTTTCCTTTTCTAATAGCCTGTAGCAAAAAGAACTTGGAAAATTATTTTTCCAGCAGAAAGTCAAAGTGCAAAATTTAAACTCTCATAACTTCGAAATTTTTATAGATAGATCTTTTATGTTGTTCTTGTTGTCTAGGGCATCCCCGATGATACAGTGTCACGGAGGTGCGCGACTTTCCGGACATCCTGTATATTAAAACAAAAAAATGAAATAAGAAAAAGATAATAAAAAAAATATATTTTTTTAAATAAAATTTCTAAACAAAACTAAAAATTGAAAGTTGAGGTTTATCATCGTAGTAAAAAATTTTAGTGCTAAAACTAGTTTAATTTTGTGATCATAGAACACAATTTTTTTAATCAATAAAACTGGATTATGTTACAAATCTTTTTACTTTCACTAAAAATTAATTAAATTTGACAAAAGTACTTCTTGATTTAAAGTCTTATCAGTGAAACCATCTAGGAAATAGAATTTTTTTAAACGTAACTAGATGATATTTTTATGAATAATTTATTATTTTATGTAAATTTAACTGACAATCATTTGTTAATAAAAAACATTTTATTATTCGTTTCACACCTAAAAACACTTTATACAAAATATCGGTTTTTTAATTATTCTACCTCGTGACCAAAAATGAAGGTTGATTGGTAATACTAAATTTTACTTTTAGTAAAAAAATCAATAAAATTATCTTAATTAGTAATAAAAAATTGTGTTGGTGTAAATCAATCACTGCGGCATCTGAATAAGTCTTAAATCATAGTTTTTTGTCTATTTTCGCTCATTTATCTGACATTTCCCTTTCATTGCTACATTTACAGAAAAATGAAGAGGAAGCAAACACCGACAGATGGATTATGTTGCTAATTAATTTAAATGAAGCCAGAGAGCTCTCCCGGTGTACAATCGTTGACGTTCCTCTTGTACCCATCTGTAACTCTATCTCAAAGAAACAGTTTCACTTTCTACTTTCCAAGAACACCCACGTTTCAAGCAATTGTCGCAAAACTGTCCCGTTTTAATTCTTTTTCAGTAGCACACCAAACAAGAAAAAAAATTAACGATGAGGTTCGTGCGCTGCTACGACTTGGGTCAAGGCAGTTTGGTTCCTTTTTTTTTTCGCGACTACTATAAAATTTTACCGTGCATACATTAACCAGTGCCAAGTGGTTCCGTTATGTTCCAGTATGTCAATTTTTATCGACTTAGAGCAGAATCGTGGATCCAGTCGGCGAGGAAACGGTGGACACATGGAATGCAACATGCACCGGCAATGCACATAGGAGTCGTGCGGAACTATGAAGCGTAAAAGAAACACCGGAGGAAGTTTCACAATAGACGACTTTGATGATGACTGAAACGAGGTTCCAGCTTAAAAAAAAAACTAAAATATATATTTTTTTAAATCGGCTTGTTTTCAAGGGAGAGAATATTGATTAATGAAGTTTGTTATAAGAATTTTATACGCAAACGTTACAACCATTTTTATGACCAAAGGACACCTTCAGCTGTAAAGTAAAATTTCTATTTTTGAGCCTAAGCATGACATTACTGAAATTTACCAATATTGTTTCTTTCGCTGCTTCAGCAATTTCTACAGAGGTATGTACATTGTAGACCATCACAATTCTCCATTTTGCACTACTAACTGCACTAGTTAAATTAATAAATACTTTCAAAAATTTTAACACAAATTCCGATACTGATGCGTGATGTTTGTTTATAAAGATTTGTTAACAAGAAATTACGACCTAGGTTTTGAATTTTTAGGAAAATTACGTTTTTCAGAATTTTCAGAAGTAATTTTGAATGCCTAGGGTTGGTTACTCCTTGTTGTTGACGGTTGACGTTTTCTGTCAACCTGATGTCAACTATCAATTAAATTATCCACACAAGCTGACAGGTGACAACCTAAATTTTGAGACTAGTTACGATATCTTTTGTTTTTGTTTGTCACCAGAAACCAACTTAACCAAATTTATAACAACCTATTCTCGAATATCCCTACATTTTAGGGAGTAATTTCTTGTTGATGCGACAATAAACTTTATGATTTCATTAAGAGGTTTGAGTATTTTGTTCATTAATTTGTTAATGTTGCTATATCAGGTATAGCTAAGCACAAATAATTTTTTTGTTTTGAAAAATCAGGTATGCCTTAAAAATTTTCATGACTTTTTTTCTTACATTTTCTTTTATGTTTATTTTCCAAATTAAGGAATTTTATTTGCAACAAAACACACTACAGTATGTACCCGGATTGAGTTTACAAGAGGCTTCACCTGAAACGAGTAAATCTGTAATTAAAACTTCATTATTCTGATTCGGTGAAAAGAAAAGTTCATTTTTCTCTTGATTTTGGAATAATTTTTCTCTGCTTTTTAAGTCTTATCACATTGGCGGTTTTATTTATTTGACAACTATATGTCACTTTGACAATTAATTTATTACTCAAATAATGATAGTTCTTGTTAAAAATGACTGGTTTTTATCTTAAAGCTGTTTCTTTGAGTTCCTATTTATTAAAATTATGTTTTTCACAAACATTTTTGTTAGTTAACTTGCGTAAACTCATTTGTCAAAGTGACATAATTGTCAAAATAATAAAACCGCGAATGTGATAGGACTTAAAAAGCAGAGAAAAATAAACTTTTCTTTCTACTAAGTTAGAATAATGAAGTTTTAATTATAAATTTGCTCGTTTCAGGTAAAGCAAAAAATGTTTTTTCCTTGCAGTTTTGGCGTAAAATCAAATATATTTTTTTTCCTCTTGTTAACCCAATCCGGGATCATACTGTATATTAAATTAAACTGTTTTTTAATAACAAGCGTTTTCTTAAATTTGTTGTCAAAGCTATCCATGAAATTTTGATTGTGAACAAACCGTCATATTGAAAGTTATTAATATGACATTTAACACTTCGCTAGGCGTATGAAAATTTGTGATCTTATAAAATTACAAAAAAATTGTTTTTTCTGAAAATTTCTTAGGCTTGTTTTTTCAATACTAAATAATAAATAATTTGTGTTCAGATATAGCTGATTTACTCGTCAAAAAACTCAAGGGAAGAACCAAACCCCAACTGAACGAAACAATATAAAAATTTTGATAACATGTCATTTGTCAAATGTTATTAAAATTTAGGTTAGGTAATACGAAACAGAAAACACATTCGTTTCTTACTACTTCTTCTTCTATCAACAAGTTAAGGTTAACTTTTCATTTGAATACAACATATCAGTGATAATTTCAAAGTGAAGTTATTATCTAATAATAATGTCAACCGAATGACACTGCTGCTTTATTTTTTCCGGGCATGAGGAAGTTTACGTCTTTTTCATTTGACTTTATCTCGAAATACTTCAATAAGTACTTGTAATGATAATACTTACTGATATAATATCAGTTTGTAATCGAGTCATCTTGGAATCTGAAAACGTATGTCTTTGAAACGTCAAATAAAATGACAAGTCGAAAGATAAAACGACAAAATGGGCTGAAATTAGTTGCTGGAGTATAATAATAGAACAGTTAACGGTCTTTTTTGAAGGTAAATCATAAATTTAGTTATTAAAATCATCATTTTTTGATCATTTTTATTATTTTGTCATTTTTGACATTTCACATTTTTTATCTCTATTTAATGTTAGTTATAATCACTATGTCCGTAAATGATTGAAGAATCAAGTTGGCTTTGAATATCAAGCTCTGAATGTGCCGCTTTATATGATACTGAATACTGATAACACAAAATATATTTGACATGTGACAGTTACAGATTTCAAAATTGTGTCTCTTAGAAAATAAAACGGTGGAAAAACTGTAATAAACGGTCCCAGGTGAAAAGGGATACTTGAGTGAAAGCGTGTTGTGAAAAGAAAGCAAAAATTTTTAGTTTTTGGAAATGGGTAGATCGTGTGTGCGGCGCGAGAGTCCACTGTTTCAAGAGGATTTTTAATGAACACTTTTTAAACAAATTTGGTATGTAATCAATTACAAAGTGTTGTTTAGAGCCCAAAGACCATTTAAAAATGATTTGCAGATGTAAGATGTACGAAGTACTGTTTCTTAATGCGATCGCCCCCTATTTTACCATCACTTCGTAATTACATATTTAAATAGTGTGAAAGAGAACATTTTTTTCAATCAAAAGAAAAGTGGCGAGTTCAATATGATTTGAGCCTGATTTCTGGTGTTAATATTTTTGTGATAATTAGTGTTAATAATGGGCTAAGTGAACACTAAAATTGTTAGAATTTTAATAAAATATTTACGAGGTGCTTATTTGTTCTTCTTGTCACGGTGTAGTTCTTGTTCTCCATGTAGAGCTGCAACAGTTAATTGAAAAATGCAGTAAATCTAAAATTTTTCACTGTCACATGCCAAATATTTTTGTGTTATCAGTATTCAGTATTCTATAAAACGGCACATTCAAAGGTTATTTCAAAGCCAACTTGATCCTTCAATCATTTATGAACACTTTGTACACCTAAGTTTTTTTTTTATAATTATTTAGTAAAGGTGCCAATAAAAGCCACAAATAACATTAAACAGAGTTACAATTTAAGATACAGCTTTCTTGTTTTCTCTTCTATTACCCTGTAGCTAAAAAACTTGTAAAAGTATTTTTCCAACAGAAATAGAGTCAAAGTACAAATTTTAAACCCTCATAACTTCGAAATTTTTATAGAAAGAATTTTTTAAACATTTTTTCAATATTCCTGGTATCTTATTTATACTGGGGCGCGAGTTCTGGCGCACCCTGTATTTGTATCAATGCAATACCCCTCAATATCAGTATTTACCCACTTCTAATTTATTATTGCATTTGGTCTATAATGAAAGTGATTAATTATTGACCACTAGAAAAGAAAAACTACCTCACAACTTCTCGACAAACTAAATAATGGTACAATCAGCGTAGAAAAGATTGTCCTCCTAATAAACAGCGCGGACCCTTAGAGGCTGAACCCATAAACCACAACTATAAATCTTTTCCATTGTATAAACTATATTATTATTAGAAATACCTAATAAAAACCATCTATTAAAAATTAAAAACTAAAAATTAAAATGACCAAATGAGATTATTTAATATAACTCTTTAAAATATTGATAATTTTTTTGTAAAAGGTGTCAATAACAAATTAAATAATTTCATTATTAATTTTTATTCAATTCAAACAAGTAGACGTGCTAACTCTCGTGAACTCGTGGCAACCTTTACAAAAAAGGAATATTTAAATTGAACTATTGAGATGTTTGCAACCAAGATATTGCAATCGCAAAGCAATTGTAACAAGTTTACGAATTTATTTTTGTTAATAGTTGTTCAGTTCAGTTATTTTATTAAAACTAAATTAATCACTTTTTATTTTTGTGTATTTAAAAAAAATCATAGTCATTGGAAAACTGTCTACCCTATTAATAAACAAATTATTACCAAAAAATTACTTTTAATTTTAATACAATAATATTTGCAAATTAATTTTAAATACGAATAAAACAAACACTGTTGTAGTAAGAAAAAAATACCTACTACATAATAAATAATCTACAATTTTTTTTAAATATGTTATCTTCTGTTTACTATAGTAAAATTAAATTGTCAAATATTTACAAAATCGATGTGTTTGTTGTCAAAATTTGTTTGGATTGAATAAAAATGATATGAAATTATTTAATTAGTCAAATGAAACTTTATTAAAGAGAATTAAGCCATCAAAAAATTAAATAATGATATTGTTCATTGAATTATGAAATTTAAAACAGCATTTTCTTGTTATCTTAGTAAATAAATAACTAATTAAACATTAATAAAATTATTTTTTAATTTAATTTTTAGTATAGAGTTGTGAATTTTTGAAAATATTTTTTTATTTACTCAACTGTAAGTAAAATCGGTAACTGAGCTTCACTTCAAACTGAATATACTGTTAAATATGAAATGACGTTTACAATGAAAAAGATTAAATAAATCTTGCTTGTTGTGGTTTATGGGGTTCAGCCTCTGAGAGTCCGGGCGGTTTATTAGGAGGACAATCTTTTCTACTTTTCTACGCTGATTGTACCTACTAGTATCTAAAATAACTATTTTGAGTACTAGTTTAATGAGTACGAAAAAAATTCATTTTGGTAACTCAAAAAATAGCTATTTTTGGGAGCGTATACAAAAAAATCAATGCTGTGTTTACATTTTTTTCAATTTAATATAGTACCCGAGTCACGGTGAGCAGTAAATCGCTGCTACTATAATAGCAGACCCGGTGACTGGGTACCTAGGTACTATTTACAGTGTGTGTGAGCAAGTAATTTTCACGGACATAAATCACGTATGTTGAAGATCTTCAGCTTCGTCCACAAAGCAAACCTGGGCTGTCATTAATCCTGATTTATATCAATTAACAAGCTGTCTATATGGTACTCATTATTTAAGATAAAATAACACTGTAATACTCGTAGTATTAAATATGATCACCAAAGCAGAAACTCATTCATTCACCTGTTGTAGCAGAATAAGAAGAAATTCAGCTAGTGGGTGGTTCAGATTTATTACGTATCTTTTTGCAAAAGCTCGTAAAAATTCTTATTAATTAAGTAGCGTGAAAGTAAATATTGTTGTCACCGCAATGACAATTTCTGAACGAATTTTACCTATATGGTGAGGTGGACAAGTGGGACGACTGATCGGCGCCAATAAAATATTTTTCGCAAATACATTATTTAGAAAGTCAAAGAAGCAAACTCAACAAATTGAGTTGAAAAATCCACGCTTGCAAATTGCTTCTTCCATCACTCAGTTGACAATTGATTGAGTTGTTTTTACTCGACGAGGCAAACGTGAATTTGCATGGTTGTTAAAATTGAGTTAGCGAGTATTGAAAACGATTTTATTCTATTTATAGATAGGATTACTATTATTACAATGGAAAAATCGGTGAAATCAGGAAGTTGTTATAAAGGAGCTTTGGAATCAACTGTTGTTGACTTATTTTCAAGATTGCCTTAAACCGTACTAATAATTATTATTGAAGTTTACGGTGATGTAGCTGTACAATTTCAAGAACAGCTACAATTGCCACGAAGGGATATTTATTTAAATGTGGTTCAGGTTTGTTAGTTTGTATAATTGTAAGATTCTAACAAAAAAAAGTATTTGCAAACGAGATTTTTGTTTATTCTAGTATGCAACAATAAGGCAATATTTTTGCTGGTAGCAATGACACATCTTTTCTAAAACTTTTAGTAGTATATTATGTCATTAGGAGTAAAAGTGATAGTAGCCCTCCACAGCAACATTAGGCAAAATTATTTTGTCGTGGTAATAAGACTAAAATTATATTTTAGAAACAACCAAATTAAACATGTTGTTATAAGTTCAGAAGATTCACACGCCACTGCCACCTTAGGATATAATGTACACTCAGAAAAGTTGAAAATGACGTGTGCATGAACCGACCCTCATTATTTGGATCCTCCTATTTAACCGCAGTTATAAAAAATCTGCGAGGAGAAAGTAATAAAAATGATTTTGCATTTAGTCTCAGTATTTCTTTTAAGTAAATCTTGTCATGGGACATTATTTCATTAATGATGGTTATTATAATTAAACGCGTGAAAAGTGTGTTATACTGAAACGAGGAAATTTGTGATTTTAAAACGTCATTATTCTGTCACAGTGGAAAGAAAAGTAATTGTTTTTTCTTGATTTTGGGATTTTTCTCTGCTCGCAGATGGTTTATAACTGCGGGTCGGTTTATGGACACGTCATTTTCAACTTTTCTGAGTGTACTACTAGGTATCCATGGGCGCCGACTTTTCATATTTTCAATGCGTACATAAACAAAAAATTGGCTTAAATTGCAGGACTTGAAAACAATTACCCGAAAAAACAATTTCTTCTTCCCTATGTTTGTTGAATTTATAAATTTATTATATTTAATATTTAGAAAATTTAAAAACTGTAATTTTTTGTATAGTACAAAAGAAAACAAATCAATAAATAACATGCAATAAAAAGTGTAAAGAAAATAGTACATGTTCAAAGTTGCAAAATGCTTCGATTTGTTGAGTTTAAAAAATAATACACTACTGTTCAATTTGAAAAAAAATATTTGGAAACAATTTAAAAAAAATATTTTTTTTTTGAAAATTTCCATAAATGTGCTGCTTGGTGGTATCAACTTTTTATTAATGCAATTAATTTGAGATGAGTATGCAAAAGCTAAATAAATGGTCTCAAAAATTAGTCAGTATTGTTTTTTATTTTTTCGATTTTTTTTCTCAAATTTAACATCCAAAAAGGTGAAAAAAATTCTTTTTTCATTTTGGTCAAGATTACACAATGTTCGGAAAAATATTCGTGAATACGCGGTAGATTTACTACAACAAGAAAAAGTTACTTTTTTCTCTTTTTTTTAAATCAATGTTGCAAGTAATTTTTTTTTTGAATTGTTAAATTGTAAAAACATCTTGAAGAAAATTTACTGCAGTTTTTGAAACTGTCCCTACATTGTCTATGCGGTCATTGGTTGCTGAGATATCAAAGAGAAAAAGATCTTTTTTTATTAAAAGTCAAATATCTCCGCGACAAATCGACGTAAAAAGAAAACTAAAGCAGAATAAACAAGCTATCCTGCTCATGTATTCATTTAATTCATAAAAAATTCTCCAAGTCCGCGTGGACCAAAAAAAAAGTAATAAAAAGAATACATTTTTTTTCCTCCTAATATTTCTTAGAATTTTGAAATAACCGTAGCTCGCCAAAAATATAAACTTGAAGCTTTAAAATAGATTTTTTAAATCTAAATACGACAATTTTTTATTGAGGTGCTATATTTCAAAAATTATTAAAAAATTTAAGAAATGTTCTCTAAATTTTTTGGAATCTAAAAGGTTTAAGTAAAATTTTTTGTCGTTTTGAAGTTTTCGAGATAATAAGAAATCTTTTTTCAAGAAGTTTTTTACTAAAGAGCTTAATTTTGAATTAATTTGAAAAATGGAAAAACAAAAAAGAATAACATAAACGATGAATTTGATCCATTTTTTCAAAGACAAAAAGAGAAAAATTTAAGACATTTTTGACATTAAAAGTGATTTTAAAGAATGCAACGTTACTAAAAAAAATAGAATAAATACGAAATTTCAAATACTCTGAAGAGTTATTACTATTATTTTTTTTACCTTAAGCAAGTCTACATTATTTTTATTTTTCAGTGGGTGCACCCATGTAGTCGGCGCCCATACTTGTAACAAAAATACCCATTGTTGTATTTAGTTC